GGTAAAATTGAGGAGTTCTGCCAAATAGTAGTTTGCAGACAAAGAGAAATACTTCAGTTACACAATAATCATTTACTGAGTACACACTGTGGTAAAGGACACTATTATAGAGAAGGCTATGGACTCCTCTACTAGAATGTGAGCTATTTCTGGATAGGGAATGTATCTTCTTTTCATTTTCAGCCTAGTGGGAAAGATAGACATATAATGATACATCAGTATATTCAGGACAGTATTAATGGTCTGGGTCCATTTATTAGGTAGATGGGAAGTAAATAAATTTCTTGAGATGTCAAACCTTTCTAGAGGGCAATTTGGCAGTAGCTAACAAAATTTTATATGAACATAAAAAAAATTTTTATATGAACATAATGTTTGACCAATCAATTTCACTTTGAAGGCTGTATCCTATAGAAACACTTGCTCAATATAAGTGCCCAAGAATGTTCATCCAGTGTTGTTTCTAATTGCAACGTGTTAATCAACAAGGAAATGGCTAAGTAACCAAGATAATTCTACACAATGGAATATTATGTAATTGTTTAAAAAAAGAAGTATATTTATAGGTGTTAACGTGAAAACCATTCATTACTGTTAAGTGAAAAAATCAAGTTGCAGAACAATATACTATAATCTCAATTATGTAAAATTTTTATTTCTTACTTTAAATGTATTTATATTGTTTGAAATGTTAAACTAAGCAAATACTACCTTTTAAAAATATTTTTTTTTAGCAAATATTACTTTAAAATTAGAATTTTAAAAAGAAATTTTATGAGTACTATAAGTAGAGTTAAAAAAATTAAGCAAATGGATAATTTTTGGATGTTAAGGATAGAAATTAAGTTAGAAATATCACCATGGAAGGCAATAACAACATAGAGCCAAGAAATACTCCATGGTGACACTGGTATTTATTGATTGAGATGATGGGACTTTAAAATGGCTATGTTGCAAGCAAAATACCCAAGGATCAGTTTAAAATGGGGTTTGAAGAGTTATCCAGGCAACTTCAATAACCTACTTAGGTCTATTTGACAGCCACGCTCAAGAGAAGGGTTTTCTATGGCTCTAGCACAGCTTTACGAGATTTTCTCTTAAAGACATCCAATTGTCTGTGTATTTACAATCACTAACCAGCCCACCAGGAAACAGTTCCCTAATGCAGACTACCTTCCCAAGCTAGGTGTATGTCCATGTAAATCAGCCAGTTACTATACTTGCACAAATTAGTATTACATGATTAGGAACAGTGCACATCAGTTGTTTTTCCCCCAGGGAAAACAGCTGTGGTTCTTGTTTTGCAAAGCAAGGAGTAAACAGCAAGTCTCAGGTTACAATTCTTTGGCTGACTAAAACTTTTAAAGCATCTATAATAATAAAAGTGTAATATGCTAATTAGATTGGACACTGCGGGGGAAGCCCAGGTCCCGGGTGCCAGAGGGAAGCTGGTGCTGGCAGCCAGGGGAAGGAAGGCCTACTATTGCACTAATTTTGCGCATCGGGCCTCTAGTATGTACATAATGATCTAACCACTTGAATTATGAAGCTTACAGGCCTTCTGTGTGATGCACATGGGTAAGCATATCTGCTTTCAAGGGAAAGGCAATATGCGAAAGATATGACCAAAAAGGCAGCTTAGAGCCCAGCTGGTGTGGTTCAGTGGTTGGTTGTCGACCCATGAACCAAGAGGTCACCAGATCAACTCCTGGTCAGGGCACAGGCCCAGGTTATGGGCTTGATCCCAGGTAGGGGGCATGCAGGAGGCAGACAATCAATGTTTCTCTCTCATCACTGTTTCATCTTTTTATCCTTCTCCCTTCCTCTCTCTCTAAAAAAATCAATAAAAACATAATAATAATAATAAAAAGGCAGCTAAGAGCACAATCCCTATCACAGGTTCCCTACAGCATTAATATTTCTCAGGAAAAAATGCAGCTTTTAAACGACCAATTCTTGATGAGCTATTCCTTGTTTAAATACAGCAGTCAACATCTCAAGGTTAGGTAAAACCATAAATTTCTACTTCCTATTGGTCCTATCTTCACAATATATGACTTCTTATCACCTTCAGTGCTTGCCCATCTGATCCAAGCTACCAACTTCTATCGCTGGAAATACTGAAAGAGCCTCCTATGGTCTCTATCACTACTCAAGTTGCGGACATGTTTTCTTTATACAACGGGCCAGAGTAATCTTTTAAAACATAAGTCTGATTTTGTCAGTTACCTATTCAAAACCTTCCAATGGCTTCCCTATGCTGAGAATAAAATCTAAAGCCCTTATCATGGCCTACAAAGTTCTCCATAACACACGACCTCCTTGAGGTGTCTCCTATTCTCATCCCCTTCCCCATTCTGTTCCTGCTAAGATGTATCCTTTCTGTTCCTCAAGCACATTAAGCACTTTCTACCTTAGGGTCTTTTACTCACTATTCTCTGAACAGAATTCTCAGAAGGCTTGCTCTTCTTGCTGCTTTTCTTCAACTCTAGGCACTAACTGACAATAACTGTCTATTTTTTTTAAATGTGTTTTTATTGATTTCAGAGAGGAAGGGAGAGGAAGAGAGAGACAGAAACATCAATAATGAGAGAGAATCATTGATTGGCTGCCTCCTGCCCCCTATTAGGGACTGAGCTCGCAACCCGGGCATGTGCCCTTGACCAGAATTGAACGCGGCACTCTTGAGTCCGCAGGCCTACGCTCTACACACTGGGCCAAACTGGCTAGGGCGACTGTCTGTTTATTTATTGTCTGCCTCCCACATTGGGATATAAAGTCCAGGAGAGCAGGCATGTTGTTGTTCTCTGCTATTCTTCAGACAAGCACTTGGCACAGAGCAGAGCAAGCATTCAATACAAATTTGCTAAATAGTGAATGAACATTCTGGTTCCAATTATTAGTTGATTTTTCTATTTCCTTAAATTTCATTTTACATCCCCTATGACACTTCCATCAAAGGTAGAGTAACTTAATTTTTCTAAAGCCCTTCTGAGCATCTCCCTTTCTAGACTATTTGGTTTAGTTATATACCCTCTGCTAAGAAAAGCGCAAAAAGAACGGAGAGATGGCCTTTGGCTAGTGTACCTGGAAGATACTGAGGCACCTAGCAATACCTGTAAAACTAGGCCTACTCTAAACACAGAAGCCAGGGTGATCTTCTAAAAATAAAAGCCATCCTTTGAAAACAGAAGTCAGACTGTTATGAATATTACCAGCACTCCCTATTTCTCTCAGAATATAATCAATTCTTACAATGGCCTAAGAGACCCTATAAGGTCCGGCTCATTACCTCTCTGACCTCATCCTGCCCCTTACTCATTCTATTCCAGCCATTCTGGCCTCATTGTTGATCCTCAAACAGACGAGGCACCCTCCTGCCTCGGGGCACTTATCTGACTATTCTCTCATCTTGAAATACTCTTCACCTAAAAACCTATGACTAATCCTTCAAGTCTGCTCAAACATCACCTTCTCAATGAGGCTTATACCTGACTCCTCTAATTAAAATTATAACTCAGCACTCTATGCCCTGGCCAATGTGTCTTAGTTGGTTGGGCATTGTCCCGTGCATCGAAAGGTTGTTAGTTCCAATTCCTGGTCAGGGCACATGCCCCAGATGCAGGCTCAATCCCCAGTGGGGGTGTGCAGAAGGCATCTGATGCATGTTTCCCTCTCTCTCCCTTTCTCTAAGTCAATAAAAATATTAATAAAATAAAATTATAACTCAGCACTCTTGATTGATTACCTTTACTATGCTCTACTTTTTCTTTGTTCCATGATGCTTTTGCCTTCTAACATACTATACATTTTACTTATTATGTTTATTGTTTTTTATTTTCTTCTCTAAAATGTAAGCTCCAGCCCTAGCCGGTTTGGCTCAATGGATAGAGCATCCACCTGCAGACCAAAGGGTCCTGGCTTCGATTCCGGTCAAGGGCATGTACCTCGGTTGCAGGCTCTTCCCTGGCCTGGGCCCTGGTCAGGGCTCACGCAGGAGGCAACCAATCAGTGTGTTTCCCTCACAGATGTTTCTCTCTGTCTTTCTCTCTCTCTCTCTAAAAATCAATGGAAAAGTATCATCGTGTGAGGATTAAAAAAAAATAAAATGTAAGCTCCGTGAGGGCAGGAATGTTTGCCTGTTTTGTTCACTGATTCCAAGAAGAATCTAGACAGCACCTGGCACGTAACAATCACTATAAATGTTTGTGATTAAAGGTAAGGAGCCTCCTGGCCTTTATCCTGAGAGATTACTTATGTCTGGGCTGCCTTCAGAGGAGAGATCACCATCACAATTTGAAGTTAATTTGGAAATCATGAGGAGGTAATAGTGCAGAAAAACAAAACAAACAAAAAACTAGTCTAGAAGTAAAAAGTCCTGGATTTTGTGTTTTAAATTCATTTTTTTAAAAATCAATGTGTATGACTGAATAATGTACTTAACTTCATAGTTTCCCAACTAAAAATCAAGGACAAGAATAATGCCTCATGAGGTGATCAAGAGAATAAAATGAGATAAAGTAAAAATATAAAAATGCATGTTTGCATTTGGAATTCTTTTCAGTTCAGTGCTTCTTGAGGGTTTAGAAGGGAAAATTCCTTTCCTCTTCTCTTAATCAAAAAATTTCTCATTAAGCTCAGAGCAGGACTACTACTACTTCCCTTAAGTTTTTCCCATTTGGGGGCTCTATAAGCAGATTAATCCAAAAAAGTACAATCCATGTGCTAGGCAGTTTTAGAAATATTAATATCTTAGACCATTTACTAAAGGGGCAGTATGGCACATAAGTGAAACTTAACCCAACCGCACCCACAACAAAAAGAACTAAATGATTCATAAGCAAAATATCGTTGTAAAACAGAGTAATGGAGCCATGCCACTCAGAAACATCAAGGGTAGAATAGGCTTTGGTAGGTTGCTTGTCCAGCTATTTTTATAAATAAATAAAAATAGAGCACAGAGTTAAAAAGAGAAACCATTTAAAATAGATATTATCCAGTCTCTTTGCTGAGGTCACATTGAGCTGCGAGCGGCTTCAGGGGCGTCTTTAGGAATCAGCAACATGGCAGAAGACATCAAGACCAAAATCGAGAACTACTGGACTGCTCCTTTTGACAGCCGCTTCCCCAACCAGAACCAGACCAGGAACTGTTGGCAGAACTACCTGGACTTCCACTACTGTGAGAAGGCAATGACTGCTAAAGGGGGTGATGTCTCTGTGTGTGAATGGTACCGGCGTGTGTACAAGTCCCTGTGCCCCATATCCTGGGTTTCGGCCTGGGATGACTGCCGGGCAGAAGGCACATTTCCTGGGAAGATCTGAACTGGGCATCTTCCATCCTTCTCCCAGGGACGTGAAGGGGGGCCTGGGTACATCCCACCCTAGAATCCTGAATCATGGCTTAACTAATAATAAATACTTGTAAAAAAATAAAAAAATAAAATAAAATAGATATTATCCAACAGGCTCTCAATATATCAACTGATCCTTACCTGGCAATGCTGAAGCTCAATCAGAGCAGCCCTCAGTGGAGATAAAAGCATGCTTTGCTTGAGCCATTTACCCAGAGAGAAATACAGTTGTGCCAGAAAAACGCCATAAAATATTAAAAACAGAGTGAAAGTCACACTGAGAAATACTTTGGTAAGTCTGAAAAGAAATAAATAACACTTCTATTAACTCTTACTAGGGCAACTTAGTTGGACCAAGTGTTATTTTGGATTTGAAAATTTTAGGGTGAATGTAATCAAATTAGAGAATCAAATTTGAGGAACATGTGCTACTGAGTTGATTGTGGCACCTAGAGATCCAATTACTATACTGTAGTTGGAAAACAGTTAAAGGGAGACTTAGCCCAATGAAAGGGGGAGAAAGAAAAAAGAAACCATAGTATTTGACAGACACAAACTTAAGCAATGTTCTCATTTCAGCCCAGAGATTTCTCTCCCTTGACTTGTTTCCTTAAACCAACCTATCTTACATTCATGGTAAAATTAAACATCCCCAGAATACTGACTACCATTTTATAAAAACTGACTCACATTTACTATATCCTTTTTGTAGTACTGAATTTACTCAGCTCTCAATCCTAAATAGAAGATAAAATGGCTCATAGTGTAAACAGGTATCAAGCTTGGGTGGAAGAAAACAATCATTTGAAATGATTAAATCGAGACAAAGAAGCTTCATATTATCTACAAGCACAGATCATAGGGCTAGTAAGTGAACAGACTGTGGGCAGATCTGACAAGGACAATCATGTTTAGAGTGGCTGGTGACCCCGCTCTTTCTTCTTCCAGTTTGTTCCTTGGCAAGGAGGAAAGAAAAAGCCCCCAATGATGACTCGCTTGATCTTACCACATCAATCTCTGTGTTGGAATGTCCCATGTTACAAACAATGCAGCTATTCTTCATCCGGTCTAAGTGCTCTCTGGTTACCACATTCTTGTTACCTTAAAAACAGAAGAGATAGCCACATATAAAGGAATGAAGTTGGACTCCTACCTCACACCATACTTAAATTTTAACTTGAAATGGATCAGAGACCTAAATGTAAGAGCTAAAACTATAAAACTCTCAACAGAACCTGGGAATAAATCTTTCTGACCTTGGATTAAGCAATGCTTTCTTAGATGTAACACCTAAAGCATAAGCAACCAAAGAAAAACTAAACTGAACTACGTTGAAATTAAAGCTTTTGTGCTACAAATGATACCACCAAGAAAGTGAAAAGACAACCCACAGAACAGGACAAATATTTGCAAATCATATAACAGATAAGGAACTTGTAGCCAAAATTTATAACAAACTCTTAGCTCAATAGTAAAATGACAAATAACCGAATAAAAAAATGAGCAAATGATCTGAATAGACATTTCTCAAAAGAAGATGTGCCAATAGGCAAATTAAACGATGCTCAACATCATCGGGAAAATACAAATCAAAACCTTCACACCTACGAGGATGGCTATAATAAAAAAAGACAGATAATAACAAATACTGGCGAGGATGTGAAGAAACTGCAATTCTCATGCATTGTTGGTGGGATTGCAAAATTGGTGCGGTCACTTTAGAAAAGTTTGGCAGTTCCTCAAAATGTTAAAAGTAGAGTTACCATATGATCCAGCAATTCCACCTGAAGGTATAAACCCAAGAGAACTGAAAACACAAAAGCTTGTACACAATAGTCACAGCAGCATTATTCCTTTTTTTTTTTTTTTTTTAGATTTTATTTTCAACTACAGTTTACATTCAATATATATTTTGTTTTAGTTTTAGGTGTACAGCATAGTGGTTAGATAATCATACACTTTACAAAGTGATTCCCCCCAATATTTCAAGTACCCACCTGGCATCAGACATAGTTATTACAATATTATTGACTATATTCCCTATGTTGTACTTCACATCCCTGTGACTATTTTGTAACTACCAATTTGTACTTCTTAATCCCTTTACCTTTTCCACCCAGCCTCCCAACACCCCTCCCCTCTATCAACCACCAGTTTGCTCTCTGTATCTACAAGTCTGTTTCTATTTTGTTTTTTCATTTATTTTGTTCTTTAGATTCCACATATAAGTGAAGTGAGATGGTATTTGTCTTTCTCTGTCTGACTTATTTTACTTAGCATAATACCCTCTACGTCTATACTTAGTCTATAGGGTGAATTTCTTTATATGTGGATTATATATCAATGAAAAAATTAGACTGTGGTGATGGTTGTATGACCCTATGAATTTGCTAAAAAAAAAAAAAGCATTGAACTGTACATTTAAGTGCGTAAAATCTAAGATACGTGAATTAGATCTCAATAAATTTATTTTAAAAATAGATTAATGGATTGATGTGAAGAACAGTTTCTTGTGGTCCCTCTTCTCTGCCCCCAGCTCTTCTTCTTTTTTTTTTTTTATAAATATATTTTATTGATTTTTTACAGAGAGGAAGGGAGAGGGATAGAGAGTTAGAAACATTGATCAGCTGCCCCCTGCACACTCCCTACTGGGGATGTGTCCGCAACCAAGGTACATGCCCTTGACTGGAATCGAACCTGGGACCCTTCAGTCCACAGGCCGATGCTCTATCCACTGAGCCGAAACAGTTAGGGCTGCCCCCAGCTCTTCTTTAGCCTATATACATACTTTCGTTTTTAAATATTCTGATTTTCCCCCTCTAAGATACACTTATAAAAGGAAATCAATGTTCCAACAGTTTATGGTTCTAACATAAAGATAAAATCTCAGTCCAAGAAAACTAGCTATTTCTGCATATTCCTCTCTAAAACTCAAAATCTACCTCTTTGGGAATCAATACAACTACGTTTCCCACTTTCTCTACGAATTTTGCTTAGCCTTGCTTTAATTATAGGGTCTATAGAGAAATATATATCACTTTTGGAGGTAAAATTAAAAAAATCAAATGTACAAATGTAAGATCTGGGTTCCCAAACAAAACTCATCTCTAGCCATCTCCTAGGTCAGTGATGGCGAACCTATGACACGCATATCAGAGGTGACACGCGAACTCATTTTTTTGATTGATTTTTCTTTGTTAAATGGCATTTAAATATAAAAAATAAATAACAAAAATATAAGTCTTTGTTTTACTATGGTTGCAAATATCAAAAATTTCTATATGTGACACGGCACCAGAGTTAAGTTAGGGTTTTTCAAAATGCTGGCACGCCAAGCTCAAAAGGTTTGCCATCACTGTCCTAGGTGGCTGAAGATGAATGGAGATACAGAACAAAGAGATGGGAAGAAACCTTCCTCTATGAATGACTTAAAGGCATACTTTTGGTCAAGCTTGACAGAGGTAGGAAGAATGTGAAAAACTGACTGGTTTTGTAAACTGCTATCTCTGGCTTTTAGAGTTTGGTTTTGTTCAGAACATTTTCAGTCATTTTTCATTTGTTCCATAAAGGCATTCTCAAGTGCCACCCATTTTAGATGTTATAATCGTACCTGTACAGGTAATAACAATATCCACTTGTCGGATGACCTCATTCAATTTCACCAGGCGAAATCCATCCATACTGTAGAAATAAAGCATGATCAATTAAGCTAAAAGGCAACTGGGTGGTTTTTGCTGAAGAACCTCAAAAGCTACTACTAAGTTGCTTGGATACCCACACTGTCATTTCTTGATATAGCTGGACTACTCTTAGCAGTGAAAAATTCAAACCATTTCCTTAGTTCATTCAAGACAGAAATAAAAGATTCTTTTGCATCACTGGAACCTGATTCTTCCTGATAATAGAGACAATGTTAAGCATAGGACTCCCCAATTAAGTTTCTAGAAAGTGCCATTTTAGCACTGAACCTACTCCCCACTGAAACTGCTTCTCTCCAAGATCATCAATCATCTCCTGAATGCCACAGTAAATTTATTTAGATTCATATATTACTTGATTTCCTCTAGTACATTAAACATTATTTGTCTTCTTAAATCTATATACTCCTTGGAGTCCATACTGTTTTATCCTAGTTTTCCTACTTTTCTGATTGCTCCTTCTCAATCTCACCAATCTTTAAATGTAGGGTACTCTTTTCTCTCAGCACTTCTCCATACCTTTTCCTGGCTATATATGATCCCTCATAGGTGGCTGATTTACACATCTGTATCTTTAGCTTAGATATCTCCAAAACTTCAGAGCCCTGGATCAAATTACCCACTAGACAGCTCTTCTAGATGCCCCACAAGGATCTCAAACTTACTGTGTTTGAAAAGAAACTCATTATCTCCCCACGTCTCCAACTCTATTTCTTCTTCTATATTTTCTATATTGATTATTAGCATTATTTGTTCACTAAACTATATAAGCCAAATAAACTAGGATGTCTGAGCCTACTGCCTCTTCCTAAGTGAGGTTGGCACCAAATCTTTTACCTAACTTCCTTAAAACCTATTGAATCTGTCCCTTCTTTCCATACATGCTGGCCTTATGTTCAGGTTTTATTTTTTTGTCTGTATTACTACAGTAGCTCTTGGACCAATCTCATCACCTCTAGGTCTATGCCTCTCTAATTCATTTTGCAGAGTGGATTTCCCTAAATGCAACTTGGATCATGTAACTTCCTTGTTTAGAATACTCCAAGGAGATTGCCTGCTCTCAGGAAAAGATCCAAATACTTCTACTGATATACGATTATCCTGACATACGATTCCTATCTCAGATATACTCCTCCCAAATTGACCCTATAGACTAGCTAAATTAAAATATGTCAAGCTTCTTAAATATATTGCACTCTCTCCTTCCTTGGTAACTATGGAATTTACTTCCAAACTAAGAAATCATTTATACCAGTTTCAAGACTCAACTATACTGACACCTCTTTGG